ACCTATTACATTATATTTATGATTATATTAGTCTCTCCCACCCGTAATTCATAATATCTTTATTATATATTATCCTACCAAATATTATATATAAAGTTATTAACCTACCACGAAATAACCTTTTCAAGGGGCACCAAAAATGGTAACAATATGTAATATCAAGTATATTTATTTTATTTTAATATCAGGAAAAATAAGAAATAATAAACTGCTTAAATGATTTATTAATAATTATTCCTAATAAAAAATAAAAATATAAATTAAAGATAAAAAAAAGTTGAACTAAAAACTTATATAATAATCTAGCCCACATAATAGCATAATCACATGTATCAATTAAGTGTTAATAAATCAAACTCTATTATTACCATCACATAACTATATAATGCATGTCATATTATTGGCGGCATTATAATATATGCTATATTATATTGCATACGAAAAATCCAGCGCGTGGCGCAGCATTTGATGTGACTAAGCTAAGCGCATCATAAATGAAGATATTCCAATATCAATGTTAAAACAAACTAAGAAGGGAATAATTCGCTTTATTTATTTATTTAAGAAACATTACAATTCAATCAAACAATTTCCATCTCTTCGCCACTATCATCATCGTCATTATCTCCTTCGTAGCCATCGAATGAGTTTCTTCGTCGTCTTGTTATTGTGGATATCGGTGTTTTAGTTAAATTGTTAACAAATGGATCGACATTAGCAACAATAGGTTCAAGAATTAGATTTCCTCCTTCTACAGCAGCAGGAGGAACTTCGTCAACTTCCATTTCAGCCTCTGGAAGAATCAAATCTTCTAAAATTGAATTATTTTCGATGTGTGATGATGATAATGCTATTACTGGTGGTTCTTGAGTTTTATTACTAATATTATTCTTTTCTGTTATTATTCGTGATTTGTGTATTTCAGATATTGAGTTTGTAGTATAATTATTGTTAATTTTGTTTATATCGTCAATTTCAGAGATTTTGGTGTTGACTTTTTCTTGATTCTTTTGCGCACAATGGGAATAAGAGATTCATAAGTAATATAATAAAAACTCGCAAAAATCATAAAAGGCGACTCACCACCACACTATCTAGCGGCGCCCAAATAGGCGGCCTATATAATACTAAAGCCTGCACGGGACTTTCATCTTTACTATAAGTTTAAAATTTTCCGTCATTAGCATCATCCTATATATAGAACCAAGAAATAAAAATAAAACTACATACTTTCGCGGGGCCAAGATCTCTTGTGGTATTTTCTGCAGTGACTTTCGTAGATCACGGGGCATTTGTATAGTAGTCGTAGTATTATTTGTTTGATCTTTATCATCAGTGTCACTGTTTTCCGATTCGGAAGAATCTACATCAAGATCTGTGACTATTACTACATGTTTTGATCGTGTCTGTGTCCAAATAAAAGAGGATTTCTCTGTGGATCGGGACCTGTTATTATCTAATAAATCAGTAAATCCATCCAGTATTTCAATTGTCATGTCATCGGTAGAGTTAATAGAAGAAGCAGCAGCAGAAGAAGAAACAACAGAACCCGCTACTAATGAACATATCAAATCGAATTGAAAATCAATATCTTATTAGGAATATTCATTCAATTATTGCTCTCCTTTCTCAATTTGCAATTGATCATAATAATCAACTGGAGAGAAAAGATAAAGAGAAACAAACAAAAACACCAACCAGGACTGCTTTGCGCACAAGAATCCTGTTCGCCTTCCTGTAATGAAAGCGCGCCCAACTCAGAGGAAAGAAACTCTGAAACGTATCGTCGTTTTGCTCGCTCTGTCTCTAATTTATCGAGCTCTAGGCCGGCTGGTAGTCGTCGTTTCTTTGATTCCTCGTGTTTGCTTGCAAGATAAAATTTTTTCATTTTTAGAATTCTTAGTTCCCAGTACAGAAAATTAATTATCGTTATGTGTGACTCGGAGAATTTTTATGTATAGCGATGATGTCGATTTTCGATCGAAAAAAAGGACCTATCAAATCGTTTTCTTTGTGCAGCTTTTTATGCAAAGTAAATAAATATCGTAAATTATATTTGTGCTACACTTTTTTCTTTATAAATACCGAGTCAAAAATACAAAAAATTCTCGAAATAAAGACAACGTTGCTCAGCAACACCTGCAAGAAGCAAAATAAAATACTTGGAAATGTTTTGAGTCGATGACCGCGATGATAGCTTTGTAATCTCAAAATCCAGATACTTAAAGAATTTTATAGAATATTCGATATCTAGATTGCTATTTAAAAGAATAAAAGGTTCTTTTTGTGATGCGAACCGAGAAGGAATCTGACCTCAACTTATATTACTTTTATTGTCGCACCAGCATTATCCAACATACACCACCCTTTACACGTCCTAACGAAGTTTATCTATTTGAGACACTGGGCACAACTTTATTTGAATACCATTAAAAAGTGTTCTATGGTGACAGAGAGTAGTGGTGATGTTGGTGTCGTTGGCGTTGCAGCAGATAGATTTTTTGTTTACTTTTATTGTTACTTCAAAACAAGAAATATTGATTCACATAATGCTACTAAAGATACCCACTTTTAAATATGATATTTAGACAATAAAAACTCCAAACAAATAAATTTTTAATCCACATCGTAACGTTTTTGTGCTGTCTCGCGGGGTGAGTAGTTCGATATACAGGAGTTTTGTCGAGACAGCCGACGGCTCTCACAACAAAACATCAGCCATTCAAATAAATTAGGCCGTTTAATCAGTTCAACAATCGCCAATCTCAGTTCGTCTCGAGCAAGCAATCAGTGCACAATATCAGACCAACTTATATCCGGCACGGTAGAGAATCCTTCACGTTTTGACGAAGGTTGGACTTTGCCAATGCTTCGATAAAGTCGGTGTTGCGGTTCTAATTCTTCCGCAGATATGAAGCATAATTCATCTGTTAGTGTGTGTTTCTCAAAGAGATTTTGTATAGACTTCGTCATTTATGTGGAAGACATATACAGTAAGGGTCAAAAGTATCTGACCCCCTGTAACTTTTTAAATTGAAGATTAATTGTCTTGAAATTTTCAGCATAGATAATATAATATAAATCTAGATCCTATGAGTTTTTTTAATACTTTTTTAATTATCATAATAAAATTTAAATGAGAGCTGAATTTTAAAATCAATTTTTTACATTAATAAAAAAATATCAATCAAATACAATAAAAAATGGTTATATTAATAATTTTTAAATTTAAATTTCATTTAATATATAAAATTTTAAGCATTTTCATATTAGTAACAAAAAATTTGACATAATTTAATAAGAAAGATATTGAGGAATTAAATTTAAATTTATTAAATTTTATTATATACAGTATGTATATAAAAAAATAATTTAATACCATTTAAAATTTAATTTTCAACAACTGGTTTATTAAATTATATTTAAATTTTTGTTATTATATGTATAAATTTTAATATAGTAATTTTAATTATTTTAAAAAGTTTAAAACAAAAAATTTTTAGTATAAAAAGTTATAAGGGATCAGATACTACTGTAGTTAAAATCAATATCTTTGCTCAATTGCTTAAATATGCATTTTACAGTAGCCACATCAGCAAGCAGTAGAAAAGGATTTTTTTTTAGTTTAACTGACTCAAATTAAAAATTTATATATAAACTTAAAAAAAATATGGATAGTAACCTAAAAAATTAAAATTATCGTTGATTTTGATTTCAAGTCGCTTGCTTAAAATTACGCCCGGTTATGTTGAGTTGGTTTAAATGCACTTACTTTCACCTTCCATGCTAATCTCCCGATCAAACCTCACGGCACGTCATAACGCCGGATACCATTGATGGAGCTGAAATGCTACGAATAAATTTACCTTGGAGGCTGTACACTTGTAAGATAAATCACATAATGCAACAATCGATTCCGAAACATCCTCAATCGATTGTATTGTTGGTAACGATGACTTGTTGAAAGACGTCCTTGCATTATTATGGCTGAATTTAAGAGGTCATGAGTTGCGATTCATATACAAAATTGAATTCTTTCTCATAAATTGACCAATTGATTGACTTATTACATTTCAGATATCGAATTATATGAACCCGTATTGTGATTGATAATTGACAACTGGTTTTTGTTCTTTAGAATGCTACGTTATATTGTGAGAATGAAATCATATCGATATCGATATTATTAAATTTCAGACAACATGAATGAGATGTATTTTTATTGTTATGTTATTATACTGGAAACGCGTAGCTCAAGGAATACTTGTTGTTTTATTATAGGAAATAAAAAACAAGTATTTGTGCTCAGCTTTAAAGGCACAATTATACATAAAAATTAATTACATTTACCCGAAAGTACATCAGATACTTTTGTTTCAATTTGAAAACATTAACTCATAATTAACTTTTTTCACTCGAAAACTCTGTTAATAGCCCCCATGATATTTAATTTAGCATCATCATCCTCAGCTGATTTCAAATACCGCGCAAATGTTTTTCGGGTGCTACTCAAATGCTTGTTGTTAAAGATTCTTATCATAAAATTTTGTCAGCTTGGAATCGTGAAATTCACTAGGTTGATCAATAAAAATCATGACATTTTTAGTCAAAACAATCACTTTTCCGAAATAACTTTGTCTCAACAACATTTATCATTAGGAGGCCAAAATTTTCAAGGCAAGGGTAACTACCAAGTAATTACCTCCTGTGTCATTAAATTTGAGCCTTGACTTATTGTTATTGCCCAAATAATCGTATATCGATATGAGGTTTAAATCATGCTGCGATTAGGTAGTTTTTAAACCAATGATAGAGAATTCTATAGATTTCCAGCCGAACATATTATCCAAGTAAAATTCGGCGCATATAAGAAAAGGAGTCATTTGCGGACAGAACAGAACTTCGTCAGAATCTAAACATAGAAGAAAATGTTCGATCCCTTTCAAGGACGCGCGTGAATGCATCGGAATTTTATCTTCAAGACTGTTAAAAGGGAAGGAAAAAATGCAATTATAAAGATACAAAAAACCAAAATTAAGGAAGAGTAAATGTTTGGCACTTAGCAAATTAATCTTATTTTATTCGTGCGAATTATAAATATCCGCGTCGTAATTTTCGCAAGAACGAATTCCAATTTATGTAAAAAGAATCACAATTATCACGAATATCAATTTTATTCATCCCTTTATGTAAGACATTTTAAATTTAATAAACACACCATTATAGAATTTGCGTTTTGTCCAAAACAGCATTCTACTATCTATCAGGTTCATTATAGAAAAGCAATTAATTTTAATAAACTCTTACGGGGAGATTGCTCTTAGAATAAAAAGGTCTGACAATTGGTTTGTATGAAAGATAATGTGGATTTTGAATCGAATTTTTAATTTATGAAACAGCAATGTTCTCAAACAAACGCATTTTGTTGTCTGTCCTAAAATGTAACAAATGTATATTTGTCATACTGCGCTTTATCGAAATTTCGCAAATAACGTTATTGTGCGAAGCAATAACTGGACAATTACTAGTTTATCATGATTATACTATGTCAGTTTCGATTCCAGTTCTGCACAATGTACATTTAGTAAGTTGGAAATATTTTTGCTCCATTTAGCAAACAATCAATAAACATATTTCGAATTGACAATGCACAAAATCATTATTATAATACACGAAAAATCAAGCAACTCCATACGTCCCCCTGCTTTCATTCATGTACGAGCAGTTTTTAATTCTCACGAGTATAAAGTTTAGTGAATTCTCCGGTTTCATATTCCGTAGTTTCCATGCAAATTACGTACTGATAAATGTTTTTCAGCTGTTGGGTAACGTAATCGCGATATACGGATAAGTGTCAATATCAACGAATTTGCGCTTCATATTATAGCGATCTCGGCTTTTAACGAAGCTTTTGATAAATTAAATATCCGGTTATAAACGATTATTAATGCTCCATATAACTATCTGTTTCCCGATATATCGTAGAAAGAACCTGATTCATGATTATTTTCAAGTTTTAGAAAAATAGAAAATTTTATTGTTTTGTCATGCAAATAACTGATTTTGTGACAATACGCAAAATTCAAACCAAAGAAAAATTTCATTTATTTTTTCGGCCAAAATAAATTCATTTGCACAAACATCGTCGGGACTTGTAACAAATGTTCTGCCAACGACTCGAGGATGCTTGCCAAATCTCGACCTCATAGGTACTTAGCCGGCAATTGAGAGGAAAAACAAAAATTCGAAACAGATATCTTTATTGAAGATATTTACTTTATAGGCTCATTAGCTTAATCTTCATTTCTCATTGACAAATTAATTTACTAATTTAGATCGGGTGCTATACCAAATTAAATTATCAAGTTTCTTTGAACATTTCTATTTTTAATTTTGTTTAAATTAGCAGTTACATTTAGAGGCTTTGTTAGTTCATTAATACCGTAATGGTTTATGATGGCGCGGGTATTCATTTAAGAATTCATTGACGAGCATAAAGATCATCAAATACAAAACATGAAATTTCATCGCTATTTTAAGCAATCAATATCAAGACAGAAATAGTTCCAACAATGGTAATTCATTAATATCTTTCAAGTTTATCTTATAAAGACCTACAATTTGTGACTTTTTGTGCTTCAACATAAGTCTCGGGTCAGACATCTTTTTAATAATGTAAATTACAAAAAAAAAGAATACTGTTCTTAATGAGTAATCAACAATAATGGTTATTATTATTATTATTAGCAAGCATAAAAAAGCCGTAGTAATGCTATACAGCAATACACCACCTATATCCAGAAGCTGCCAAATAAAACTTATATTTGGATGACAAAATATAATAGAATAAATCAAAAATAACTTGCTGCAAGCAAAAGAATAACAAAATACTTTTGACTTTTCAAGTAATCTATATTTTATTTCGTTCTCACTACCTATATTTCCGAAATCCCAATAATATTATTTAAATAAATCTACCGTTTTTACGATATTCAGGCGAAATCATGCATAATCTTAATTTTCTAAAAATTATGCTAGAACCATTTAGTCCGCAACTAGTTTTAAAATTAGCAAAAATTGTATTTCATACCAATGGCAGAATTGACAATTAGCCATTTAGCCATAGCCAAATTATAAAAAATTCAGTTAATACAGAATCAAAAATTGGTCATTTGGCCAGAGTTGGCCATTGGCTGGCCAAACAAATTCTTGGTCGCCAAGTGCCAATCCTGCCAGTTGTGTAAAATATCATATTATTTTTTAATATTATATAAAAGGGTAGAGTATGAGTTAGGATTAGTGGTAGGATTAGTGGTAAGATCAAAGCTAATTATCATAGTAAAATTTTGGATGTTGGCATTTTTTCAATCTCGAATTTGATTGGTGGACTATGATAATCTCGCGATTTTATTGGTGTAGTAAAAATGAACATCCATTGGATGTTCTTATCGTAATACAAGATTGATTGTGTATATGCATTAAGTGTTCCGCAGCGCGGGGTCAATCACTGCATTTCGGTCTAATAAATAGAGTGGAAAGTTTGTAGGGAAAATGAACATTACAATGATTCTTTTCTTTATTTTGTTATGGATATTCTCCTAATTTTGTCATCGTTATACAAAATCATATGATTCGGTTCAAATAAAAATAATCCAACAAAACAAAAGAAATAATACAATCAAAGGGCGCCGGACGCCGAAATTAAGGTATGGCTTATCTATCCCTTTTGCACGACAAGCATGTTTTGTTCTGCGGGTTTTAATGACGAGAATGACATACCACTAAACTCGTGGTGTGGCTGGAAAGAGAGTATAATGTGATTTTTAAATTATCCCCACTCTTTAATCTTTATCCATATTTGGATAGGTGATGTCAAGTATTTTAATTTTTCCTCGGGTTAGTTTTAAGTTGGAAAACAAAAATCAGATTTTCGTTAAAAAAAAAGTGGCAAATAACTACTTTAATCATGATTATCGAAATGATGATATCAATCATCCCACTCCTTCAAAGTCCGGATGACGATCATCGACTATTCGTGCATCATTGATGTTTCATGCTAAAATGATAATGGTGAGTCAAAATCTTTCAATCAGGCGTTAGATGTGGGGCTAATTCTAATGATGAATTCCTCGGGGTCATTTGATTTGTGAAAATCGGTATCTACAGAGAAGGAAAAAAAAGAACATGTCACTAATATTAAACACAGAACACAATATAAATCTTCTTTTTACTCTATTCATATAAAAAAAGAAATTTTATTAAATTATTACATTACACATATTATTGTATTAACTGCGTCAATTGCGCAGTTCGGCCAAATGTAACAATTACCGATGTCCGCAGCAGCGTGGGGTGTATATAGTAAATATAATAAATAGAAACAAAGTTGTCAATTTTTTGTGCTTGCCTTTAAAGAAATTATATTTTTTTTTATCTTGTGAATCTTGTGAATATCCTATACTATACTTTATTATACGTGCGGCTCACTACTTCCAAAAAAAACCCCCCGGCTCATTTTTTCGTGTCGAACATAAGGTAAGAAATAGTACCACGCAATTCTTGCGGCCGCAGCAACCATCATTTTAACACATATTGTTTATATTTTCTCGGGACTTTACGTAGGCTTCTCACTCTGAATATTTTAATAAATAGCTCGATAAGCAAACAAAACAAATACCAGTGGAAAAAATAAAATCTTTGTTCGTGTCTTAAACCTTCTTCTACTCTATCAAATCCTATTCGGATAATGCTAATATTTCAACAATAGCTTTCAAGACTGCTATCAGAAATCATTTACCAATTTACCAATCTTGATTATATCCCATTTTGCATATAAAAAAATCATTATTATTACTATCTCACACACACACATATTTCCTTTTTTATATTTAATCATCAAGAAGACAATAGTTAATTGATTCTTGAGGCTGACTTAATTATTTTTTTATTTAAATTTTAGTATTTTTACCTTTGGCTTTTTTAACACAATGTCTTCTATCAAAGTATCATTTTTATAGATAACATTCCTCTTCACTTTCGCTTTCAACACTCTACACTTTAACAAAAAGATAAAACCAAAAATCATTAACCTGTTGGCGTTCTACTTTTTACCCAAAAAACCCAAAGAGAAACCGAAATTATCATCACAATAATATTCTATCGTCAAAAAAAACCATAAAATCAATCTCCTCTTATCGAACACCTATTTAATTATTTTGATCTAATCCCATCATTCAATTCACCTCATTACTGCCACCTTTTTTCCGATTCAAGGAATCAATTAATCTCATCGTTTATTAATTAAGAATTTAATCATCAAATATTTTTCATAAAATGGTAAAAGATACTCAAATATTGGTTAGCCGTTATCAACAATACCAGCCACATCCACCTCAACAAAATCCGGTGCCCTGCAGCGGCGCCGGATATGCTCTTCAGCATGAGGCTTTTTGGCGTAGTATTGCCGCTAGTTCGTCGGTTGCACTCGATAATCCAAAAGATGTTCTTCCTAGTCCAGTCTCGTCTAGCAGCGATGAAGAGGAAACTATCGCAAGGACCCACATCTATAGTTCTATGGAGAGAATGAGAAGTGATGCTTCTTCAGAATGGTCAAATAACTCTTCACCACTTCAATCATCTTCATCGGCGACTTCTTACTCTTCATCAACTTCCGAGAATTACGTGAGTCACGATGCAGGCTATGTGCAAAAAAAACGAATCAGACTTGAAGAAGAACAATTTCGTCCGAAATCCAGAGGCGAATTAGCCGTAACGAGCAGCGAAAAGATAAAGGCCTATTTACTTATTAGAACTATGACACCTGAAACTATGCAAGTTCAAAATAATGTTAATGTTGCAAAAAATGGTAGGTTTATCTCTATGCTGATATTAGGCGAGAGAGATTTGGTTATACGATCATATGAGTACCCTGTGTTTCGTCAAAAGAAAGGTGTACAAGTTGTGGCAGAAAAATAATATGCACGGACAGATACAAGTGAATACAATGTTTATTAGGTCTTTGTCATATTTTTGGTCATTCAACCTTTATTTCGTGCATACTTTATGTATGGTACTATTCTTTCTCCATATTGCAGGTTTCAATGGGCTTTCAATATGGGTCAAGATTCTCATACTTGCTGCTTCTTCTACTGCTAGAGTTCTCGTCTACTATTTCCGTTTTCACCTAGAAATGATTTGTATTGTTCATTTGATTGTAACTTTTCATATATAGTCATGAAATTTATTAATATCCCAATTCTTTTTTTTATTTTTTAATATCTTTAGTGAATTCAACCCCAGAATGGACCTTACCTGAATTTTCAAAATTGCAGATTGCTCAGCAAAATTCGTATCCCGCTGCATCGTTGTCAAACTCGAATTTAAAGTTAGTATCTCCGCCTCCGAGCGTAAGGAGTCAACTCAAAAATCAACACAAAAGATCTCGATCGCTCTCGGAAGAGGAAGACGAAGAAGTTCGTGCTTTTATGTCTGCTCATGAAAGGCATTGTAAACATGATCTTAAGCGACAAGTTATTGCTACAGCTTCTCTAACACAACAATTCCAACCACGAACACAAATTGCACCAACTATACCTCTCAAAAGTAGCTCGAATGGAAACCTCAACGGTAACTTTAATAGAAACTTTACAGATTTTGGAAACTTTAATGGAAACGACAATGATAATCGTAATGCAATATTAAATGAAATTAAAAATAATAATCGAAGCTCTACTGGAACCACCAACGTAAGCTTTAATGGAAATGGAAACGGAAATGGTAATGTAAATGGAAATTCGAACGCAGATGTTGACGGAAATGGTAACAGAAATGGTAACGACAACGGAAACAATAATGGGAACGCGAAAGAAACCGATTTTGCAATTCTCGATATAATTCCTTCATTAATTAGCGAAAAAAGCAGAAAAGCAGCATTTGTTGACAATCTTGTGGGTGAGTAGAGATATACGAATGTTGTAATCACTTTCTCTTAGCAAACAAAACATAACTATGTGTTCTATTTTAATTAAATTAGACACGGCAGCGCTGATTATCGAAGTTATTTGGTCCCATTTTCACATCAATCCTGTTGCAAAAATCATACCTCTTAAGATTTTTATCCAGGAGACACTTCGACGATCCCGAACCTCTTATTCTACTCTACAAACTGCTCTTTTTTACCTTTTCCGTATTAAATCACATATCACCTCACGTGCTTTTCAACTTCCCTCTAATGGATCTAGGGACCAGAACAAATCTTGCCCGATGACACCTACACCCAATTCACCGGCCTGTAAAAGAGACAATAGCGACCCGGCGACATGCGGTCGTCGCATGTTTCTAGCAGCGTTGATTATTGCATCAAAATACCTTCAAGATCGAAACTACTCTAATAAGGCGTGGTCGAAGATTTCCGGACTTCCTGTAAAAGAGATCAACCAAAACGAGATTGTATTTTTGAAATTGATTGATTATAACCTATTCATAAGTGAAGGTATCTTTAAACGATGGAGCAGTCTCTTATTGACACATATTCAGGCTATTTCTGGATTTTCGGTGAAAAATGCGGACGCATTCCGGCAAATGGAAAATCAGCGTGAAGTTGAAAGATTTCGTGAAAAATTGCAAAATCTGAATCCAAAAACTATGGAATGTCAACGAAACTGTTTAACTGGTTCCTTAATGACACCAGATCCGAGCACCCCTAGTACGCCACGAGGAACTGAATCAGAATTTACGTTTATCACATCATCTGTTTCCTCTTGTAAAGAAATGAGAAATGTGCAAAAATTGAGTGGCATTTTAAACCCACAGGAAATGATGCATACTGATGAAGTAAATGGATCGAGTGTGTCCAGATGTTCTTCGTCTACAGTTTCTCCAATCATCATTTATGCACGTCCAGAGTCTCAATAATGAGAAATAATGCCATATCAAATATTGATCACAATAATCTACTTTAAGGTAACATACACCCTCAAAGCTTATAGCTAAAAACATATAATCACATAAATATTAATACATTCATAAACCGCAATAATAATTATAGGTTTGGTTTGAACGCATACCACTAGTCGAGAAAGTAATTTTTCGTTTCATAGTGGTAATATTTTATGCACCTATTTTACACATTTCTCCCCTTTACACCCTTTTTTCCTATTTCATTTGCAATTATAAAGCAACATTGACTGGTTTATGGTATCCACTTTTCGCAAACTTTCTCATATACATATACATACACATATGAATTTACCTCTTCAAACTACTATGCTTTTTTATCCAAATTTATTCCGCATCTACCTGATGAATACAGTTTTATTCTATCACAAAATTATACAATTTTGGACTATATCTTCTTATTTTATCTCATTTAAACAATAATATTTATTATCTCTAAATAAACGAACAAATAATAATAATAAATTTTTGTGTTATTATAATTATTTGTTTGTATGTAGTTTTCTTGTATAGTTCTTTATACTTCTGCCTTTCAGTTTGTTGCCTCATAATTGCTTGTTTTCAAATTTCAAATTTTCTCGTTTTTACTATTGTCATCAGATTTTATTAATAAAATTAGAAAAAGCTTTTCAAATTTCACGTGTATCCCCTTACCTCTCTTCCCGATCTTTTTCAATATTTGACGCCTAAACACCACTTCATTTTCAATCCCTACAACGTAACGACATAATTGCTGTTCTACGGAAAAAAAGAATTTTTTGTATTCGTTTAAAAAGGGTTACCACATAATTGCTTTACGGGCGAATACAAGAAACAAGTTCATTTTTTTCTTGGAACGAAATTATGTTGTTGAAGTAGTGAGTAGTTGCGTTAATATTGTTGAATATCGGGAAGATAGCCACAACCCCTACCCCACACACCTATCCATCTCACACCCATCCATTTCGCACCCATTCATCTCATCTCATCTCATCTCACACATTCATCTCCCACCATTTTTTAATGTAGTAGATACACGTGAAATTTGGAAAAGAAAAAAAAATCTAAAAAAAATCAAAAAAGATATCAACAAATCATCATCACATAAAATATCCCTCCAAATACACTCGTGTTGTAATTACTACTTTAGCATCAGTACCAGTTCCTACTTCATGCCCCCAGTTGGATTTTTGTTGGAGCAAATATCATCTGATCTGTTCTATACGTTTATTCAACAGTATTGTTGCACATCCCCTTTTGAATAGAAGAAAAATAAAACTGTCCCCTTTTCCCATCATCATTTTTTCCGCCAAAACTTATATCCGATTCATTTCTTCACAACTCCTTTATTTTTGTCCCTCCTTTACATAATTTTCTTATTTATTTATTCACTATTATCATTCAATTATCCGATGAAAAAAAGTTACTAATTTTTAGTACCTACTATATTTTATACCATACTAACCGACCACTAGTCGTCTTGAGGAATCATCTTCTGACAACCATCAATTCGTCGATCTGGAATCATTCTTATTATATAATCAAAGTACTTGAAGACGAAATCAAAAAGTTCAAATACACGAACAACAATATACCACCGGATGATCAAAGACACGTCCAATATCATGTTTAGCTCTTGCACATGAAAGCTCAAGTTCCGGTCTTATGTCAAGTAACTTAGTATATATAACTAATACACGAGCAATAGTATCAATAACGATATAAAGGTTATCTAGATAATAATGGTAAAAATAATATTCGCATAACCCACCTTCTTCGCATTATTCGCAAAATCAAGGTATCAAAAAAATCAAAAAAATCTATCCACGTTTATCCGACTAAAGCTCAATCTCCGCCAATCGCATTCGCCTCTTTGACTTTACCCGGAAATTTGAATATTTCTTGGGATCCTGACTTTAAAACTCCTGCAGCGAGTGTTAATGCTTCTGGGATCTTAAGGATATCTTTTTGGAAGGGTATTCATTGGGAAAAAAGATTATTATGCGAATGATAAAAGTAAAAAGAAAGATTGACCAGAAAAAAAGAATTATATGTGACCTCCTATTTAATGAGGGGTGGAGAAATTTGGTTGACGTTGGATATATAAAAAATATTATAAAAAAAGACGATTGCGTGGATTAATGTCGAAGAAGGACTACTTGCGAAAATAATGGTTCATCGTTCTTGATAATAAAAATATAAAGAAATGGAGAGTTCATTTAGACCATTCTTTGAAAATTTTGTATTATGCGGACATTATTATTCTCCTTTTTATTTCTAACTTTGTCTAATTTGTATTTTATTATTTTATTATCATCTTATTCATAATTTCTTTCTATAAATGTATTTTATATTTTAATTTACCAATTGATGAAGACATCGTTGTGATATTAATTTAATAAATAATCTTTTTTTTTGAAAATCTTGTGTATATATTGTAATTAGTGATCCAAACCAACCGGCTAGCTATAGCTAGAGCAAAAATTCGATAATCGAAAAGTAACATTCTTTTTTCATTTGATGATTTGATGATCGACCGCAGTAGACCCAAAAATATCGGTCGAAACTACTTCAAAGATTTTCGACATACAGAGATTTGACATGGCAGAGCTTCGAAAACGCAAACCAATTCACAAAGATTTCAGCAGTAGAAAAAAACAAAAGGGTAAATTCTTTATAAGGGCAAGGGACGGACTTCTTTTTACAAAATTTCTCTTTATAATGTCCTATTCGTATAGGGTTCTATAAAAGGTTTTCGAGCAATACTGCACCTGTTGGTTTGAAACCGGGAATTTCAGGGATATTTGTGAGTTGTCCAAAGGACAAGGAACCACTCTGTATTCAAGAATGTTATAACTTGTTTAATGAGGTATATGGATTTTTTTTCATTGATCTATGTTAATTCATTAATTATCATTAATATTTTTCCGTTTTAGTATGCTGAAAAATTATATGGTATCAAAGATTTTTCTGAATCAATTACAGAATCTGAGAAGGGGGAAGATGATGATGGTGATGATAATGATGGTGGTAACGATAGCAATCCTGCTGAAAATCAAGATATAGAAGATTCAATTGCCAGAGAACTTGCACAAATAAAAAAAAAGCATGGAGATTACTTGTTCTCGTCAATACAAACGGGATCCGATTGCAGTTTGCATCTATTTCCTATTATTGCATGTGGATATTACCGCATTCAGATTATTTATTAATGGCAATTAAATAATTTCCGAAATAGTTGTGTTTATAAAGACCAAGCCTCCTGTTGAACCAGCAAACTTTGTTCATCAGACACTTTCTGATATATACGATAACAAGCTTAAGAAGTCTAGGTAAGCTTTATTGTTGTCCTATTGTATGTATCTCTCCTATATTTCTAAATTTCCATGTATTATAGATTTATTCAACGATTAACGCCAATAACTAAAACATGCTATGCCAATATGCCTGCAATTATTGAACTAGCAAAAGAAGTTATTGGTCCCCATTTTCATTCACAAGATGAAATCACCGAAGAAGAGAAGAAAAATATTCGTGTAATCTAAAGTTTTTTTTTTTGTTAATGTTTATCACTATAATTATTTCGGCTTGATCTTTTTATGAATCTTTAAATTTTTTTTTATGTATGATAAAAAGTACTCAATTGTGCCACGAATCCGAAACAACCACAAGATAGACAGAACGCAATTGATTGGCACTTTGGCAGAGATAGTTGGCAAACAGCACACAGTGAACCTTGACAATCCTGAGCTAGCGGTTATAGTTGAGGTGTTTAAGGTTTGTTTAGTAATCTCTATTTTCATTCTTCTCTTTTGATCGTTCGAATTATTCGAATAAAAAACCGATCGTTTATTTTTATCATATAGAGCATCTGTGGTATAAGTGTTGTAAGAGATTACATAAAATTCAAGAAATTCAATTTAGAGTTGATATCTAACAATGGTGACAATCTTAACACTGAATGTATTCAAACAAAAATGTCGTCAACTGTTGAGGGATCATCGACGAATAATTATGACAAAGTGGAAATCGGTGATATTAACAATGATAGTGATAATAAAGATAAAGATACTAATAATAAAGGTTTATGATGGCGATCGAATGGATGCCATGAATGATTTTGCTGAACAATTTTCTTCTTTGGATTTGAATCAAAGTACAAATTATAGTAAATAACATTCCAATAACAATTTATCAGGTGTTTTCTTTTTAAACATTACAAAATTATTTAGTTATTAACATTAATAACCATCAGCTGATGTGACATGATGTTTTTCATTAAGTAAGAATATTGAAATAACAACCTTCAAATTATTATCTGATCAAAGAAATTTATTTGCCAAGATATTATTATCTTATTATTCACAAATAAAATGAATATTATCAGATAGTTATATATTTATTAAATTTATTTGATATATTAATGATTAAGCTTTATATAGATCATAAATTGAAATGGGATGTGTATTGATTTCGAATCAACTTGTATTAATTCAGAATTCCAATTCAATATTATGTTAATTCCAAATTAATCCAGCCAATTATATTATTAACTATATTTATCCAATAAAAATTTCTTTTTTATTCTTTATATATTCTTTATTTCTTGCTCTTTTCTTCTTCTCATCTTATCTCTTCTTGCTCTTTTTCTTGCTTTTTCTCTTTTTTTCTTTTCTTATCTTATTTATTAATAGTAATTTTTGAATATTTATATAACATTATGTTAATAAAAATTATAATACTTAATAAATTATATATATTTTGTTTCAAGAGATTAATTAAAAATAATTATTAAAAATATCTATTATAATTATAGCTAAGAATTATAATTATAATTATAAAAAATAAGTTACAATTCTAAATAATAATTTAATTATATTTACTTTTTTAATTATTACTGATATTATTAGTAATTATTAAATAATTTAGTATTATAAATTATTAAATATTATTTATATATAATATTAAATATTACTTATATATTAATATTTAAATTAATATTATTTAATTATTTTTAATATATATTTTAATTTTAATTATATATAATATTTATCTTTTAATTTTCTATATAAAGATAATCCTATTATAATGAAGATATCTGGTCTGATATTTTCCTTTTAGTATAACAGAGTTTTTAAAATAATGAGGTATCTGTGTTAACTGAAGATTATATTATTATATCTATTTCTTCAGATTAGAGTGAAAATACTAAATAAATATGCATATTAAAGATGGCTCCTCAACTAATTGCGGCTTGCGGCAGCCAATCAGAGAATTGTGACAGAGTTGTGGCAGCTAATCAGAGAATTGCGACAGAATTGCGGCTAGTTGCGGCTCCTATCTCTAGTGCATATAGTCAGAAAAAATGATTTGTTTTATTAATAAATACATAAAATATTCAAATCATTCAAATAATTATCAAAAAACTACTAATTTTCATTTGCACTTTTGAATTAATAATTTTTCTACATAAATTCTTTTTTATATTGCTTAAGTCATGTAAAAAATTCATACTAATATCTAAGTTATCTTCCTCTTATATAATAAATAACATCAACTTGTCAATTGATTTGATAACTTTAGTGATTATTATTTTGAACTTATTTGAGTTTGCATCCTTCTTAACAGCTTTTTTGTCTTGGGCTAAGACAAGAATTTCATTATTATTCAAAATATTTACACTTTATATTATAGAATTGATAGTGATATACTCACTTGCTAAAAATAAATCATCTGGTACAATTATATCCATTGTCTGATGATAAATTGAAAAAATTATCAATATTATCTATGACTAGATTTGCTGATAATATACCTATTTTTGTTTAGCATAATATAATTGAATCTGTTTAAACATATTTTCAGACTTCTCCTATAAAGCAAATTACATCCAAGATTATAAGATCAGGTACAAGAATATCTAACTCAATAAATGTATCATAAGTATTTATTCTGTTTTCACAAAGCAATTACTAATATTTTATCTAATAAAAAATGATTAGTATATTAATATGAAATTTAATAACAAAATTGCTTACTTTAAATAAATGTATGATTCTTGCATTATATAATTATAGATGAGTCATTATATTTTTTTGAAAAATAATGTAATATAATATTAAAATATATAATCCCTTCTTTAACTGTATACATAGTGATATTATCTAATAAGAGCAAAATTTGATGTTATTCTTTTTGCATATCTTCATTCAGCTTGGTAAGTTAATGACTAAAAATTCTTAATTATATTCATATATTTGAGTTTTAATAATAATAAATGGATAGATTTTTATAATTAATATTTTATATACATCTTGAATTTCTATATTTATGAATAAAAACTGATATAAACTTTCAGGTTCCTATCATATTACAGATAAGTAGAATTATAACATAATCTTTAGATTTTTTTATTCTGAAAATCAAATGGTAAGCAAGTATTTTTAAGAATTCTAATTTTTAATAAAGTGCCATTTTATCATAATTAAAAATATTTTTCAAATTTCATGTAGATAAAAGATTGTGAAAATTATAATAGTATTATGACAGATCTTTTAAAGGAGCTGAGTTTGCCTTTTTATATCAAATATATTTATGAATATTATAACACTTTTTAAAGTAATCAAATCATTCATGTAAATTTTTGAAATTCTTGATTTCAAGATATTTAGCAAAGATAGTAGTTTTTGTGATAATAATATATTCAGATAATATTTAATTATCACATGTAATTTTATCAACCCAAATGACTAATACTTATTTGATTATTAGAAATTTTAATGATCTTTTATAGTGTAAGGATATAATGTAATCTAAAGATAACTTCTTAACTAGTTATAGCTTATGACAGTTAATCAAAAAATTATGATAGAGTTATAATAGTCAATCAGAGAATTATGATAGAATTATGACTAGTTATAGCTTCTATTACTAGTATAATCATTTTGATTCTAATATTAGAAAGTACTATTTTTTTTAAGATATCAGATATCTTATATCATACTGCAAAATCAATTAGTTATTTTTTATATTTGAATTTGTATTTTTTATATGATATATCTTAATTTTTTGACTAACAGTTAAGCATAAATATGACTTCTCAACTAATTATAACTTGTAATAGTCAATCAGAGAATTGTGATAGAGTTACAGCAGCTAATCAGAGAATTATGACAGAGTTATGACTAGTTATGGCTCCTATCACTAGTCAAGTATATTCATTTTCTTTTAATATCTAATTTATCTTTTATTTCAATAGATATCTTTGTTAAAAGACTAGCAAAAATATTTTAATCCTTTCATGATTACTTTAAAGAAGCAGAATAGTTACTATCAGGAAATTTTTTGAGGTGATTTATATTGATTTTTATTATTAGTTATATATCAATATATATTGAAATTATCAATGCATATTGAAATAGATATTTGATATATATAGTAAAAGTTAATATAACAGATTATTGATATAATGAATTTTGTCTTATACAAACTTTTTTGCTGGAATGAAATTTTTACTAAATATTATAATGGACTTTTATATTAAATAGTAATATAACGGATCTGGACTAATTTGCCTGAACATATTTAATTTAGCTTAGCTTGATATAACAGATTTTATATAACTAAGTCCATTATATTCATACTGAAGTTTGCTATATTATAATAGAGTTTGTTATATATAATTATATATAATAATAATAAGATTCATTCATTATTTTTCACTACACCAACATAATATTAACTTATAACTCTATTAATTTAAATAATAAACAAAAAAATGCTTCTCAGTAAAATAATATAAATAAATAAACTTGCATTATCTTAACAGTATTACAAAAAAAGAAACTATATAAATATATGAGAGCTAATTCTGCACTCAAACAAAAAGATATGGTAGAGAAGTATAAAATATTAAAATAGGTAATCTCAGATATTTTGAAATAAGAAAAAATATGGTTAATAATAGAGATAGAAACTCCAAGCGCTAAGCAAATGTGTAATAGAAAACCTGCATTTATTGAAGTTGATGATATTATAAAACTCTGGATAGATATTATATTAATTTGAGGTGATATTGATCTGAATGATAATATTATAATGGAACGTGCTTTGATATTTACAAAAGAATTCAGATTTAAAAGTAAATTTCTTGCTTCATCTGGATGATTAAAGAATTTTAAAAAGAGAAATAACTTATGATCATATAAAAAGTGTAATAAAATTAAAAGTGTTAATATGAAAAATATTTCACAATTCTGAGCTGACTTGCAAAATATTCTCAAAGAATATGATCATTGAAACATATTCAACTGTAACAAAACTGCTTTATACTGATAACTAGAATTAGATAGATTAATTGCACATACATCTTTACTGGATAAAAAAAAATCAAAAGAATGAATTATATTATTATTAACTTATAATGCCTCTGATGATAAAAAATTACTAATACTTCTTATATATAAGTATAAGATATCACGTGTATTAAAGAGTATAAGTAAAGATATATTACCAGTTTGGTATTATTGGAATACTAAAGTATGGATGCAAAGAAGTATTTTTTATTCTTATTTAGTATAGCTGAACTCTTGAATGAAACTTATAAATAGAAAAATTCTCTTGCTTTTAGATAATGCTAATTGTCATAAGATATGAGATACAGATAATCTATCTAATATTCAACTCTATTTTCTTTCACCTAATACTACTACTATTCTTTAGCCTTTGGATTAAGATATAATTTATAATTTAAAGATATAGATACTATATTTTATGTAAAGAAGTTTGTTCTATAAGATTCAGTTTTATACTTAACTAACTTAATAATTATTCAAATATTAGACTCATTATTGAAAACTTTTATGTTATGAAAAACTTTATACATATAAAAGACTTCCAGAAGAGGATGATAAACTCTCTAAAATTACTATATTTAATGCAATTAATTACATTAATAATACTTGGTATAATATTATCCAAATAATAATCTAGCATAGTTAGAACTAAACAGAAATTCTTCCTATAACTTAATCTACAATGATTTTCTTACTCTTGCAAATAGATATGACAGAAAGTTTAGAAATTGAAACTTTAGAACATGAATTAGAAAGTCTTATTAATTAGTTTCCAATAATCAACTCACTATTAGTAACAGAATTTATTAATATTGATGAGAA